CGTCCACGACACAAGGATATCGGAAGATCACCAAGCTCCAGGAATGGTCTTCTCACCGCAGCCGAAATCAAGGAGATCCATAGAGCACAGGATGAATACGCCGCCAAGCATCAGAATAGAGGTCCTTTGATCGTAGCCAATCGTGATATTCATAAGGCCGCACGAGCATCTCAACGAGAATCTCAGGCTAAAAAGGCCGCTGTTGCTGATGCAGTCGAGGAAGAAACTTCAGCATTCACACATGTTCCAGCAGGCGAGAAGCGTGATGCCAACGGCACACCAAAAGCCCCTAGCCAGCGCTGGAATAATTTCTTAGAGTCTAATATTGATTCAGATTACAGCCCCAGATGGGTTCGATGCCCAAATGGTCTTTATATTCGAGAGGGGTCCACTGACAAACAATTTGAATCGGGCGATTTTGGCGATGATTATGCCTGGCAAGATCACTATCGTGATATCGACGCTTTCCCAAAGCAAGATATCTACAAGGGAGCAGGCGTCCAAAATCCACTGAACTCAGCTCAGCTTCTTGAGCAGGCTTATTTACGTGCTGAAGGAGATAAGAGTATCCCAGACGAGAGCGAAAATGACTATACTTATGTCATTGATCAGCGTCAAAATAGAGTTCTGTTCTATCCAAGGAGTCCTTACAACATGTTCCAAATCCCAGGTAAAAAGCTCACCGCGACTCATATTGCGAATATCAAGGAAGGACTTCCTCTTCTTAACCCCCGCGATCAATACGGAATCGCTATCAAGATACCTACTGGTGGGCCAGGTCAGCAAGCTGATCCAGACAACAATATCTTCAACCAATTGGCAGAACAGGCAAGGAGAGCTCAGTACAAGGATGCTGTTGAAATGAAAGCAGGCAGAACTTTGGAGACAAAGCGATGGACTCAAACCCCTCCACCAAAACCCAAGCCTGTCAATGCTAAACTTCCTGGTACTGTTGAGAACACCCCGGCTCCAATCTCCGAGGCTGTACAACACGCCATGAAGAAGGCCAACAAATACTTACCCACAAAGGGCAGTGGTCTTAGACAGGTTTCCACCATGAGCCCTGTCCAGACTGACCAGGAGAAGAGCTTGAAGGCTGCGAAAGATTCTAAGCCCATGTTCAACTTTGATTTCACCGCTGCATCCATTGGCTGGAATGCTGACCCTCTGGTTATGGCACGTGTTCAGGAGCGTCTGGGTGAGGGTTACATTCCTATCACACCCATTCCCGACCACATTTGGCATGAACATGATGATCTTCACCAAGGTCCAGTAGAGCAAGCAGTTGCAGCATTGTTCGAGGGAATCGACTCCAGAATGTTTGGATCTATGCACAATGGAATCCAAGATCCATCACGACCCCAACCCAAGTACTGGGACGAGCTTCCAGAAAGTCCAGTTGCTGAACGCTCCATTAGATTATGGTAAATTCCAGCGGAACCTAATCCAGTCTTCGCGTTAAGTGTCTGTCTCTCAAGACGCTTAACTTTCAAATTGAACCTTACATCAATCATTAATTGAAAACGCTCCTACTTTGGTTGCGGGGCTCTCCCTTGATGGTTCAAATCCATCAGGCATGCGAGTCGCCTTGATATTTCTGATTTGGTTCAAGACTGGTTACATTCTTGCTCGATTTATCTGGTTTATAACATTGGGTGCGTGGTGCTGGGTGATAATGATACCTTACCTTTACATGATTGGTTTTCTACTGTTTGAGTTTTTAATGGGATAGTCAACGATGGCGGGCGCTTTGGATTATGATCGAGGCCTTTCTTTTTCACGATATGATACGATCGATACCCTTCTTTTTCGCTCAAAGATACACCTTTTGCACATGTCAGATAAGCGAGTTACATACTCTGACAATGTGCGCTTTCTACACCAAATATTTTGTCTTTTCGACACTACCAGGAAGATGAATTATCTCATCGGCACATTAATTTTACGTCACGTACATATTTACAACGGGATTTTCGAAACACCGAGGATACGATTGCTCAGAGCTGGGTTTGGGAGGTGGCTCTTTCCTACCCGTCTTGTTGCAGTCTATCCAGCGTTTCTCAATTTTCTCACCGTTAATGTTTACGAGATTAAACATATCAACATTAATATTAGCACCCGCACACATACGGCGAAGAACATTGAAGGAATGAGAATGACGGAATCTAAGTTATAAGAATGGATTATGGAGTTGGAGTTTGTTGAATATAAGAATGGGTGATTGAAGTGACTGCGTGTGGATGAACGAAATGGATTTCAGAAGATAGTCGATAGCAGTGCGTTTTGTGCACTCATTTCTTTTCTTATGTATTACACTGTGGGGACGTCCCCCCACGGTTGCGTTTGCTTTTTTGTATTACACTGTGGGGACGTCCCCCCACGGTTGCGTTTGCTTTTTGTATTACACTGTGGGGACGTCCCCCCACGGTTGCGTTTGCTTTTTGTATTACACTGTGGGGACGTCCCCCCACGGTTGCGTTGATTTTTTGCATTCCATTATGGGGACGTCCCCCCATGATAGGTCTGCTTCATTTCCTTTTTGCGGCTTTCTTCTTTGGTCCGATGTCACCATGCAATATGCAAAGCTCGGGGAACCCAAGCTCAGATTGTTACCTACATGTAGCGGGCGGTGGATTGAGATGAGGGAAACGCGCTAGCATGCAGTCTTGTTGCTGCCTTTTGTTTTGGAGTTTGATATTGGCAGGGTACTTCACTTTATTCGGAGAGGTCTCTAGTCTGCTGGACGCAGTGGACTATGGATTCTCTACGTTTCAAAGGTTTACGTACATGCTGTATCGGATCGGTATTTGTCTTTTGGTTCTCTTTAGCATAGCATTGGGATGGGGTTTGTCTTTCTCGGTATGGGCATTGGGCATGGTATGGAGCATGGTATATGAGATTGCATGCAATTTTAAGCATGGAGCATGGTTGGTGCATTAAGCGTTGCCTTCTTTCGCATTACAAGCAAGTTCTCTAGAGAGATACTATGAGTAGACGACAATGATTTGTACATACTGTCTTTACAGGTTTCATACGGAAGGTAAAGATGGATGGGATTTGAAGAGATGGTTGGGATACAAAAGGGAATGATTGGCCTATAGGGCGCGTAAAGAGTAATTTGTATGGGATACAATGAATAAGTAAAAAAAATCAAAATTTTAAAAAAAAGAACTTGATGTTTGTGCCTTTGTGTGTGATGTGAATTTGTGGTGATTTGACTACATGTTGGGATTTCTGCTTTGTGATGAAGTGAAGAGACGGATCATGATGAGCGAGGGGTTTAGCATTCCTTCCTGGTTTGTAATGCTGATGTGAATGCTGTGTGGTGCTTCGTATGGTAGAGTGAGTTTGTATCAATTCTAGGTAATGAGGATATCTTGAATAGAGGTACCTGTTTGTATGTATTGTGCGTTCGTTATAGTATAGTATGATATGACATGCTAGGTATGATATGGCAGGTATCAGGTATTCGATGCTATGGATGAATGGATGGATGGATGGGTGGGTTTTACTTGAATCTGGTGGATTCTGAGTATAGGTATGGGTTTGAGTATGGGTATGGGTATGAGTATGGTGAGAAGAGTTTGGGTTGGGTGCGGATGTGGATGGGGATCGGGAGGTGGTGGTAATCTGTGGTTAGTTTATTCATGTTAATAATGTTTCATGTTGTATCTTGAGATTTGCATCGGTCATCCAGGGCGAATGAATCGAGTTTCGGCGCGAATGGTCTGGGTTTTTGGATTGGAAATTGGGTGGGAGGTTTGGATCTGTGGGGCTTAAGCGAGGCAGCTTGGAAGACAATTGAGGGAGGTATGCCTCATCGATTTTGTCCGACTGCCTTTTGTAATATATAGATAGACAGAAGTACTGCATGCTCAGCGTGGTATTAGCTATAGATAGAATGGGATTGTTAAGGGTTCACTACTGCTACTTCTACCGCCTGTGCAGTTTTCAAGTTGTCTACGGACACGAATGATGTCAATCGTTATGGATCGTCACACCCAGCGGAAAAATTACTGCAAACATACAACAAGTACTCTCCACGCTTTATATCCCACATGCCACATTTTCCGGCAGCAGCGACATAAAAGCATCTTTAGAATAGTCAAAAAAAGGCTTGGCGCAAGATCGGGGATGCTCAGTTGGGGGGTCAACAATCCGGGAAAAGGATTCGTGAATAATTGTCTTATTGATTCTTTGTTCTGAAATTTCGAACTCGTTACTTATTGGACTCAGAAGATCCCATATTTGTTCTAAAAGTACCTCGAGCGTACCTCGGGGGTACATCATTTACCTTTCAAACAAAGAGTTACAAATCCAGAATGACATATGAATGGATAGACGGAGTGTGCGTTTTAGTCCGACGACAAAGAAAGAGGAGATATTTTAGGATGTTGGTGAATACGGATAAAGAAACCCATACGATTTCGTGTAATCAATACAAACAGGAAGAACTGACTCGAGGGAATGGAACAAATGGACGTAGTAATGGGAATTAAAATACATCAGGAGATTATAAATAGGCCGACTCAAAGGTGCAATCTACGTGGCGAAATACTTCCTCCGAGATACACATAAAGGAAATAGAATTCTAGAAAAAATCATGAAGAGATGGAATAAAGAAGACTTAGTCACTACCATGTGTAGAGACGAGAATGTGCAAAAAGATTAATAGTTAAAAGTGTTTGGATCTTCTAGAGTTTTTTTATTTTCTTCTTCTCTCGATTCTAGCAAACACGGATTTTGATAGCATTTATTATTATTATTATTATTCATACTGAGTTGGACACCAACCAGCAAATTCATATTTTTCTTGCTTTCAGTGAAAGAGAAGTAAGGATTTGAGAAGAGGGTTCTGTCTCTTATAGTAGGCAATATTTGAGTTGAGCATAACCAAAGAAAGAAATACCAACAAAAGCCATCATTTCGTCTTCTCACAATCTACTCGCAAGATCTCAAGTCTGAAGCCCAGCAGAGAAATATCCCAAAATTTGTCAGCCATGAAAATCACACATACAACCTATAACGAGGTACGCGGCGGAGCACCTAGTCCAGTTCCTCCCCTATCTCGCAGTCCCCAATTCATAACCACACCTACCGCATTCCGATTCGATACCAGCACACCTCCACGCCTCGACACACCTATGCGTTCTGCTTCGCCGCCTCCCAGTAACCCCTTGGTACATACAACGCGTCGTCTAAAACGGTATTTGAAAACCTCATTTCGAAACCGGACGCGGCCTGTAAGTCGGCGACTTTCGCGGTCGAGACAGGGGACCAGTATACGGTATCCGCCTGGCGAAATGCATCCACCGACTGTTCCGACACAGGTGGGGAAATACCACAGCGGGAGTGTGCGCGGGAGTATTTCGTCCAAGGGAGAGGAGAGGATGGTGGGGGAAAGAGGAAGTCAGAGTTATGAGAGGGGGTTGGAAACGCGATATAAGCATGCGAAGGGGAAGAAGCGAGCGAGTTATTTGAAGCCGAGAGAGGAGGCGAGAGTGAGTTTGGGGGAATGGGGAGGGAAGAAGGGGACGGCGGGGTTGGATTTCGAGAGTTATATGAAACAGCAACGGGGATTGGAGAGGGATTTTGGAAAGGGATATGCGGGGGGGAATAGTCCTCCTAGTTCGTCGAGTTTGAATGTTCTGGTGGGGAAGAATGAGAGGGAGGCGAGGAATGGGAGTCCGCCGAAATTTGTACCGAGAGAAGATGCAGGGGGGAGGAATGGGAGGGGAGAGAAACAGGGGCTTGCGTATGGGGGAATGATGCAGTTGGATCCGGAGACTTATATGAAACAGCAACGGGGATTGGAGAAAGTTTTTGCCAAGGGCGTGGGGTTTGCTGGGAATAGTCCTAGTCCTCCGCATAGTCGTGCTGAATCGCCACACAAGGCGTGGCCGCGCGGAAATGCAAATAATTCCCCGATTCCGATTCCGATACCGATACCGCCGCCTGCGGGATATACGTATGAGAATGGGACGGGAAATACGAGTCAGAGGGATAGTGTGAGGTTTTCGGATGTGCAGTGGAGTAGTGTGGGGAGTGGGGGGAGTGCGACGGGAACGACGGGGACGACGGATAGTGGGAATGTTGTGGAGAGCTCGAGAGGGAGAGGAGCGGGAATGACGACGGGAAAACATAAGGCTGCGCCGGGACAAAGATTAAGAAGGAAGGGGAAGTTGGAAGAGAGAGATCAGAGTTCTGCGACTACGCCGGCTAGTTCTCGTTCGCAGACAATCAGTAAAGAAGATGAGATGGCTGGTGATTTGAAAAGACTCCAGGAAATGCATCGAGATAGCGAGGAGGAAGTAACGAGCATGGGACAATTAGAAGCGATGAGAGCGGCAATATGGAAGGGGAAATTGGAAAGAGTAGTCCCGCCCAGTTCTGAAATACCCAAACACATGGATCTGCCACATCACTCGAACCCGAGCTCGACTTCAAGTCGGGGTAGCAAAAATAGTAAGAATAGTAGAGGTAAAGGAAAGGGGAAAAATGTAGAGGGGAGAGCAAGTCCGATCCAGAAACTGAAAGGGTATATGGGACAGAGTCGCGATGCTGTGCATGATTCTCATGAGAAAAAGACGTCTTCAAAGGGAAAATTACCTAGTCCGTTTGAGTATTTGTTGTATCCGAGTTACGACGGGAAGAAGAGTGGAAGAGAAAGCACAGAATTGAGAAAAGGCTCTAAATCAAAGTCCAAGGGTAAATCTAAAGAGGGAGAAGACAGCGACGACGACTTCTGGGGATGTGTCGGCGAAACGAATAACGAGAGTGGGATATTGCTTTCCCACTCCCCTGTTCTGCCATCAGAAAAGTCTCATCAAAACTCCATTCCATCCGGGGTCGAACTCCCCAAGAATCGCAAACCGAGCGAAGATTCCTGGAACACGCATTTAAACGATCTCTGCAAACTTTGTCGGAAACACGAACGGACCAGCTCGCGCGGTCTCTGTCATTCCTGCGAAGATAATTTCCTCAATACGAAAGCGTGGGAAGATACGACTTTACAATTTGATAGCGATGATATTCCTCCGACGCCGCCTCTGAAAGATCGGAGAAACATTACTAGGGTGCGCGACATGCTGGCTACGACGCCTCCGAACTATGATGTTGAGTATCGACCGCCTGTCCCTGCGAAAGATGTCCCTGGGGAAGAGAGAAAGAAGATCCATGTATCGAAAGTTGAGCATAGTCGACCGCAGATTGTGAATCCATCGCCGGTTAGACAGGAGAGTCAGATGCTGGTGTTATGGGGGAATGGGTGATAGTCCGAGGGATATCGAGATAGGGTTTCCGGAGTGGCAGACGCATAGTTTGCAGATTGAAGGGGAGAAGACGGAGGAGATGTTTAAGAGGTGGTCGCAGAATTACAGGGGAGGTGGGACGGAGGAGAGAAGTGATGGAGATGAGCGGGGAAAGGAGGAGGGAGAGGTGGAGGAGCCGAGGGATAGCGTTTTTTATGATTTTTGGAGGGATATTTTGAAGGATGATAAGAGACCCGAAACACCGAAAATGGAGGAAAGGAAAGCGAAACTTTGAGCTCGGATAATGTGATAGATAATTTATGTATGTGTGTGTATTATAATGGATCAACACTTTTTGCAATACTATTGGGTACTATGAGAAAGACGTTGATTTGCATATCCCACTTGTGAATCTCCATGGCAGAAAATCGAGTGTTGTATTCACCACAAGTGATTGAGAAGCCTCACTTGAGATACTCTGAATCTTAGTTTGAATGATGATAATTTTATTTGAGATGAATTCATGACATCAAGGAGGATTAATGGGATCGCAAAACGTTGGCATTCCTCTCTATAAAATGATCATTTCCTTAACTTTTGATACCCGTTAACAATGCACATAACGTTCATGATCCCCCAATTGGACCTTCTCCACCTGGTACCAGCTACTCTATTATTAGCTCTTGACTGTTTCTCATGATGCGTATACCAAGACATGGACAGATACGTACCATAGCAATACCATTCCCGTTCAGTAAAATCTTAGGAAGCTTTGTTTGGCTTCCAGATTGGTGGTCACTATGAGTACTCAGTACAAATCCAAAAGGTTCATAGAGTGAACAGATACATACAATTCGATAACATCTTCCAAAACCATATTGACGTAGTCATCGAAACCAGTGAGTGTGCCGGTGAATTCTGGTGATGTGTGAGCATGGATTTCTGGAAAGAGGTGATGATAGAGGTAGTACCTTTGTCACCTTTCATGACAACCCAGATTTTAGAACCGACACATTTGTCAATAAGTTCTAATGATGTGTTAGTTTGTGCGTGTGTTTGCGGGTAGATAGAATAACTGACCAAGAGGGAGAAGTTGGCTGGCCATTTTGGATGACTGGTTCGAGGCTCACTGATCAGAATATTAAGCTTGCAAGAAAATTAGTTTGCTGTATGGAATTAAAATGACTGTGTGGTAAGAGATTCAATATAGCAAATCTTAGTGATTGCCCAGGTCTGGCATTGACTGTGAAACCATATGGAGGGGGCAATCAATCAAGGTTGAAGCACGTGAGATTGACAGCGCAGGATAGAGGGATTTGACTCACAGTTCAACACCACAGGAAGATATTAGAAACCGTATCACAGAGTTCGTCTTATTTGACGGTTAATAGTTTCGTTGTTTGTTTCTCTCCTGTTCGTTTTAAAATCGCATAAACCTCGTGATTCTTCAACTGACAGACAATTTCATCTTCAAGCCTCAGGCATCAACACCGTACGGTTTTCTATCATCGACCTCTAGGATCAACGATTGGTGTGCATCTGCCTAGTCCTCCACTCCTTCGTAGGACCACAATTCTCTATACAAATGCTCGTGTCATGCTCCCAGGTAGTCATGGAGCATATACGGTGGGCAAATCACTTCGGGGTCCCATTATGAAGAATATAACTTCCTTTATTGGGAAATCAAATTTAGCCTCTGTAGAAGCAATGGGTTCAGCAATTGCAGGCATGAGTGGAAAGAGAGCAAGGTATGTCTGGAACTCTGCACTGCAACTTATATATTCTTGAAGCTGATACATATTTCGCAGTCCTGTGGTGACTCGATCAATCTCATCCAGTTCCCCAAAGACATGGCAGCCAAGTCATGGCATCATCTTCAAAGATGTTTCTGCACCAGGGTCACCGAGACATTTGAGTACGGCTTCTGTAGCAGAGAATGAGCAGAATCTAGAGTATCACTCATACGTCGAAGATAGTTATGTTTTGGCACACGCGCACGTTGAAAGCTCGAAAACTCAGAAGGTGGCGACAGTGGCTCAGGAAGAGAACTTGGAGCCTGGGACAGCAGCAGATGTTCAAGAGGCTGTGGACGGACAAGAGATAGCAGATGATATCCTGGAAGATCCTGCTAAGAAGGAACTTCCGATTTCCGAATCCACATACCAAATGACGGAGGAATTGTTTAAAAAGGCGAAAAATGCCGAGCCAGAGACACCAGAATCCTACTGGTCACATACTCTATATCGTGGGCCAGAGGAGAGTGGTATTCCGAAGAAAGTTAAAGTACATTATTGCCGAAGTCTGCAAACCACGGAACAAACGCTACGACAACATTTCTTGGGCAAAAAGGTTCTGGGATTTGATATAGAATGGAAGGCAGACGCACGCGCGTATCATGGGCCAAAGAAGAATGTTTCTCTGATCCAACTCGCAACAGAAGAGCGAGTTGGTCTCTTTCACATTGCATTGTTTCCACAGATCAACGCCTCGGAACTCGTGCCTCCAACTTTGAAAAAAATCATGGAGGATCCAGAAGTCACCAAAGTAGGCGTGGCAATCGGCGCAGATTGTACACGTCTCAGAACACATCTTAATATTGACTCAGTCTCGATATTTGAGCTTAGCCATCTTCACCGATTGGTCAAATATACCCTTTCCCAGGAATACGATCTGATCAATAAGAGATTAGTTTCGCTAGCAAAGCAAGTTGAAGAGCATCTACACCTACCATTGTTCAAAGGCGGGGATGTTAGATCTAGTGATTGGAGTCGAGGACTATCAATCGAGCAAATTTCATATGCAGCATCAGATTCATATGCTGGTTTCCATCTCTACGATATACTTGAGACCAAGCGCCAATCTCTAGACCCAACGCCTCCACGTCCATCTCACGCTGACCAAAACGCGCCTATTCCCCTATCACACCTTCCCACAGAAACTCTAGCAAAACAAAAATATACTCGACGCCAGGTCATGCAAGATCCCCTACCACTTGACCCTGATTTCTCGCTCGAAGATCCCAAAACTACCATTGAAGCTTCGATTGAAGCTGGAACCGAAGCAGGAAGTGAAATAGAGATCAACGATCTTGTGAGAAAAGTCATCGGTTCCGAACCACCAGTAAACATACGAAGGATACACCCCACCCGCGACCCTAACGATCTCGTGAGGAAAATCACCAGTTCCGAACAATCAATAAAAATTCGAAGGATCGAACCCGCGTCCGACTCTAATGATGGCGAAGAATCTTCCGTTCTCCTAGCAGCCGACGTACTTACAACCTTTTATTTGGAATCCAATCCAGAATCGAAAGTTTCACGATTACAACTCGTTCCCTACTTCATTTGGTACCATAATGCCCATCTTTCCATTCCACAGATTGCCAGCATTTGCAGCAATCGGGATAACAGGATTATAATAAAGCGGATATTGACAGTGATATCGGGAGATAAACTACCTTATGAAAAGCATAGATTGAAGAATCTTTTAGAAAGGTTGTCCAAAAACGTGGCCTGGGAGAAATTTAGAGGACTGGTGGAGGCGGTTGATACACCGGATGTTTGTAAGGATTAGAAAGTCATCACGAGAAGGCGTTTAGAATTTGGGGGTTTGATTTGGGCTTGAGAATGGGTGGCATGGGTGGGAAGGGTACATGATATGATACACTACTATGGTTACTCGCGGCGGTCATTGCGAATGGTTGTTTATTCTATAGTCCATTGGGAATCTTTGCAATCCTTGGATTCCTTGAGGTTGGGTATATATTGGATTGCACACATTTCTGTAAAGTCTGTATTTTGAGCAGGGAAAGAAAGAAATGTGAAATTCCCTACTTTACTTTGTTATGTGCATATATACCTATTGAGGTATAGTAAGAGTACGCTTTGAATAGATGGGTACTGAAATCATGAATATGTATGTATATATGTGATTTGATATCAAAATCCCTACAGAACTGTACTCAAAATCTAGGTAATCCAACCCATTTGAAAGTTGAAACACTTTTATCTGTATCTATTGAGTATTTTCTCTGTTTGTTCAATATGAGAACTTTATGTACTGCTGTAAGGGATTAGAGTATATTAACTTCAATTCTTGAAGATGACTACGAAGGAGTGAATTATAAATTGAAATGGGAAATGGGAAATATGATTTGGAGGGTTAAGATGTGGAAGGTTGGGGTTTGAGCGTTATATTTACATACACTGACTAGGTATGAATATATTATATTGATTAAATCAAGATATTATCATTCTTATTCAAGAGTCAGGAAATGACGATTATCTATATCTGGAAACATCGATGCGCATTGCGATAACATTGTATTATATTATTGTTCGAGACATGGGATATTTGTATCCATCAACTTTCAAGACATCACATAGCGCATGTTTTGGTTTTCAGCCCATTGGTTCGTTACTACATTGATTTTTTGTTTTCTTTTTAAATATTTTTAAAATAGAAATGAAAGTGACAGAATTACAATCGTATACTAGTTCCTAAGCTCCAAAGTTCCTGATATATTTGCATATACATATAACAAACAGCACACAACACCCAATCCCTCATAACCCATTTTATAATTTCGATCCGTTAGTACCGTTGCCATTAACAGTAGTAGCATGACTACCCTTCATCGGAGCCCCATTACTCTCATTATGACTCAAACTAGCCCCCTTCATCATATTCGCCGTTCGGTTCTTTGGATCTTTCGCCATACCATTATGCGTACCGCTGAAGTTCATATCCGCGATACCTGGATATCCCTTAATGCCGGTCGCTTTCTCAAGACGACTGGCGAGATCCTCAGAGACTTCGCGGAAAATGGCAATTTGGCGTTTAATCGCCTCTTCCTTTCTGCAGTTCGCCATGTGACCAGAAATGTTACTGATAAAGCGATCTTTGGCTCCGTCATCGAAGATCTTCTCCCACAGGGCTCGTGGGGCTTTGAAATCTTCCTCTCGGATTTCGGAGAGGAAAGTGACGGCGTTGCCGGTGAAGTGGCCATGGAGCTTATCAGTGTCGACTGTGCGTTCTTTGAAGCGTATGGGTTCGATAGAGGAGATATAATTAGGACGAGATCCTTGGTTGTAGAAAGCCATACCGCCATCACGCTGGAAATTGCCCATGCGGTAGCTGGTGCGGGGAGCATTGACGGGAAGTTGTTGGTAATTTACACCTACACGATGACGATGGGCATCTGAGTAGGAGAAGAGACGTGACTGAAGGACCGGATCCGCCGAGGGCTCGAGTCCTGGTACCAGGTGAGCGGGATTGAAAGCTACTTGCTCGATT